GGTGGTGCACATGTAGCTTATAGCCTGTTTTAGAGAAATGTCATCATCGAATATTGTAAGAGCTTTCATTGTCTGCTTATATGCCCCCTTTATTTATCCTACGGTTCTGACTTGGTGTACTGGGAGAATACTGTAAGAACGGCTCATGTTCTGAATTCTGTTACTATACATTTCAAAAGTGCTGAACAAATAGTTATATTGACTACGTCCATCCTAGCTCGCTCATTAATGTCTTAATTAAAATTACAGCCACTTATCCGCTCGTCGTCCCCATATGCCATAGTTTGTACATCTCAATTGTCAGTAGAAACCACATTTGTTTAAGCATGTCATTGTCTGAAGCGTTAACGTTAGGTAGTAAGTAGCTACTGTGCTCGAAATGTAGCTAGCTTGTTGCTACCTGGATAGCTACTAAACAATAGCTGGAACAACCTAGCGAACAGACGCGAACTGGCTGAATCGATTCAGTGGCTAGCTTTGCACTTGGCTAGCTAACAGTAGCTGCTAGGGGTAAGTTATAACCTACATTTGTGTTTTGTTTTTACATACTGGTAGCCAGAGTCGTTCAAGGGAATTCGGGACATGGGTGACTAGTTAACGTTAGCTTGGCTCTCTCTGTGTGTTCGTGCCGTGGGAGGACGGGTTTCTTCGTTGGCAGAAAGCAATGGCTAGCTAGTATGCTAACTATTTTAGCTAACTAACTGGCTGAATAAGTTGACGACGGACTCGCTCAAGCTGTCGGGACTAACCCACAACGTTAGACACGGACACGAATGATCTGCTTGGCGTGTTGACACACTGGTGGTTTGTTGTGGCTGAGTATTGGTGCTAAACCGTGTTGTTGGAGCCCGGCATGCTAGTTGGCTGTGGCGTCATATGACTAGGTGCCCTGGACGGTTTTCACGGAAGAATACTGCACCAAGTTAGCTAGCTGAATAAACTAAGTTAGTCTATTCCTAGAAAACATTGAACCGCTGTAGTTTACAACAAACGATTTGTGACGGCCGGCCGCCCAACAACCTGCCCGCTTGAACCTATCCCCTCCTCTCTTCTCCAGACCATCTCCGGTGACCTTCTCCCTTACCTCACCTCGCTCATCAACTCATCCTTGACCGCTGGCTATGTCCCTTCCGTCTTCAAGAGAGCGAGAGTTGCACCCCTTCTCAAAAAACCAACACTCGATCCCTCCAATGTCAACAACTACAGACCAGTATCCCTTCTTTCTTTTCTCTCCAAAACACTTGAGCGTGCCGTCTTTAGCCAACTCTCTTGCTATCTCTCTCAGAATGACCTTCTTGATCCAAACCAGTCAGGTTTCAAGACTGGTCATTCAACTGAGACTGCTCTTCTCTGTGTCACGGAGGCTCTCCGCACTGCTAAAGCTAACTCTCTCTCCTCTGCTCTTGTCCTTCTAGACCTATCTGCTGCCTTTGATACTGTGAACCATCAGATCCTCCTCTCCACCCTCTCCGAGTTGGGCATCTCCGGCGCGGCTCACTCTTGGATTGCGTCCTACCTGACCGGTTGCTCCTACCAAGTGGTGTGGCGAGAATCTCTCTCCGCACCACGTGCTCTCACCACTGGTGTCCCCCAGGGCTCAGTTCTAGGCCCTCTCCTATTCTCACTATACACCAAGTCACTTGGCTCTGTCATATCCTCACATGGCCTCTCCTATCATTGCTACGCAGACGACACACAACTAATCTTCTCCTTTCCTCCTTCTGATAACCAGGTGGCGAATCGCATCTCTGCATGTCTGGCAGACATATCAGTGTGGATGATGGATCACCACCTCAAGCTGAACCTCGGCAAGACGGAGCTGCTCTTCCTCCCGGGGAAGGACTGCCCGTTCCATGATCTCTCCATCACGGTTGACAACTCCGTTGTGTCCTCCTCCCAGAGTGTGAAGAGCCTTGGCGTGACCCTGGACAACACCCTGTCGTTCTCCGCTAACATCAAGGCGGTGACCCGATCCTGTAGGTTCATGCTCTACAACATTCGGAGAGTACGACCCTGCCTTACACAGGAAGTGGCACAGGTCCTAATCCAGGCACTTGTCATCTCCCGTCTGGATTACTGCAACTCGCTGTTGGCTGGGCTCCCTGCCTGTGCCATTAAACCCCTACAACTCATCCAGAATGCCACAGCCCGTCTGGTGTTCAACCTTCCCAAGTTCTCTCACGTCACCCCGCTCCTCCGGACACTCCACTGGCTTCCAGTTGAAGCTCGCATCTGCTACAAGACCATGGTGCTTGCCTACGGAGCTGTGAGGGGAACGGCACCTCCGTACCTTCAGGCTCTGATCAGTCCCTACACCCAAACGAGGGCATTGCGTTCATCCACCTCTGGCCTGCTGGCCCTCCTACCTCTGCGGAAGCACAGTTCCCGCTCAGCCCAGTCAAAACTGTTCGCTGCTCTGGCACCCCAATGGTGGAACAAGTTCCCTCACGACGCCAGGACAGCGGAGTCACTCACCACCTTCCGTGGAGACACTTGAAACCCCACCTCTTTAAGGAATACCTGGGATAGGATAAAGTAATCCTTCTACCCCCCCCCCCCTTACCCCACCCCAAAGAAAGAAAAAAAAACATATTGTAAAGTGGTTATCCCACTGGCTATAAGGTGAATGCACCAATTTGTAAGTCGCTCTGGATAAGAGCGTCTGCTAAATGACGTAAATGTAAATGTAAATGTAAATATCAGCTATGTTTTTTTTAATGGCAGTAAATGAGGCTGAATGAACTGTTTCACTGCCAGACAAGGCTCCGCTGATAGCCAGGTGTTGCGGTGGTAAGGATTCACTCCATGGTGCTGAAAAGAAAGATCTGCTGTCGGGACAGCTTTATGTAGGCCCTAACAGTTTGTGGGCACCGTTTGTCACCATTATAGTGCAATTAATGTATTGTTTAGTGTTGTGTTGTGGCTTTGCTGGCATGCATCTAAATGTTGTTAATTTTGTTTGCCCCACAAAGATTTACATGCTAAAATCGCCACTGCTTCAGGTATGCGATGTTGCCTTTTTTTTGTTCTTCAATTAGTCTTGGCAGCAGTTCCTTTCTTTTGAGGCGTACCTCTTCATTTATGAAGATTTTGGTTCCCTTCAGGCACTTGGCTCTCCTAAGAATCTCCTCCTTGTCTTTGAACCTGAGCAGTTTCACCACTATAGATCTGGGCCGTCCATCGGGGCAGAAAGTGCCATTCCTATGCGGCCTCTCCATCTCGATGAGTTTAGGGTCCAGTTTGAGTTGATCTGCCAGGAGTTTCTTGGCCTTGACTTCTGTGTCATGCCAAGTTTCAGTCTTTATGTCCTCAATTCCATCGATTAAAATGTTATTGCGCCTGGATTTGTTTTCGAAGTAATCTCCTTTGGAAAAGTGCTTGTCAAGTGTTGTTTGGAAAATTGTTTGAATCCCAGATTGCCCCTTTAAAAGGGGTCGACCTGCAAGACTATTTCATGTCCATGATCCAGACTACATATCTCATAATGACTTATCTCATAATAATGACTTATTGTCTCATAATTAAGACTTACATATCTCATAATTGTACACTGAACAGAAATATAAACGCAACATGTTGGTCCCATGTTTCATGAGCTGAAATAAAAGATCCCAGAAATCTTCCATACACACAAAAAGCTTATTTCTCTCAAATTCTGTGCACAAATTTGTTTACATCCCTGTTAGTGAGCATTTCTCCTTTGCCAAGATAATTCATCCACCTGACAGGTGTGGCATAGGAAGAAACTGATTAAACAGCGTCTGTTATTGTAGCGTGTGCCCTTAAAATGACGTCATGGAACTGCCCACTCTGGGGATACAGAGATGTAGCTAGAGAAAATGTAGTAGATACTAATTAACTGCACGTGCATTCTACAGACACTTGAACAAATCATACTGCAGTATTTGCTATACACTTCAGTTTGCCTGTATTCATACTAAACTACATTCATAGACTGACAATAAATAAGACGTTTGAGCCCCCCACTCCTAATCTAGACCCCTTGTGGAACTACATGGATTACCCACTTTTTCTGTCCTGCTGCACTTTCGGTTCCCTTTTTTCCAATTTTCGCCTAAAATGACATACCCAAATCTAACTGCCTATAGCTCAGGACCTGAAGCAAGGATATGCATATTCTTGATACCATTTGAAAGGAAACAATTTGAAGTTTGTGGAAATATGAAATTAATGTAGGAGAATATAACACATTAGATCTGGTAAAAGATAATACAAACAAAACAACAAAAACATGGTTACATCATCTTTGAAATGCAAGAGAAAGGCCACAATATAATATTGCAGTTTAGGCGCAATTTAGATTTTGGCCACTAGATGGCAGAAGTGTGTGTGCAACGTTTCAGATTGATCCAGTGAATCGTTGCAATACTGGACTATTTTGTATCAAGTCTGCCCAAATGTGCCGAATTGGTTAATTGATACATTTTCAAGTACATAACTATACAAAACATACAAAAATTATATGGTAATACAAAACGTACGTTTACACACTCCCAGGAATGTCAAACATGATGGATCATTAGCTTATACACAAACTTTCACACATCTAGATGGCCTGGCGGGGTGGGTGTGGAGCCAGAGACAGCAGGGATTCAAACTGTAGAACCCAGTTCCTATATTTGAACATAAAAATGTATTTTATCAAACAAAACTAAGCTACATTTTATCTCTGGGACCCTCAGGATGAGAAATCAGAGCAAGATTACTGAATGTAAGTACATTTAATACATTACCTTTAGAGGTGAATGTATCAAATAGTTGCCGTGATAAGTTTTTTGTTGTTGTGCACTCTCCTCAAACAATAGAATGGTATTTTTTCACTGTAATAGCTACTGTAAATTGGACAGTGCAGTTAGATTAACAAGAATTTAAGCTTTCTGCCCATATAAGACATGTCTATGTTCTGGAAAGTTTGTTGTTACTTACAACAGTCATGCTAATCACATTAGCGCACGTTAGCTCAACTGTCCCGTGTAATGGACACCGATCCCGTTGAGGTTAACAACAACCAGCTAGCTAGCTAATGTTAGTTATCTTCTTGACAATACGCTTTTAAATTGTTGCTAGCTATTTTAGCTAGCTGAGTTAAAAATGGCCACTAGAAATAAAAAGAAGCGGACACCACATTCACAAAACGACAGATGGGTTGTTGTTGCTGCAGGTACATTAAAGTTAGGCAATTGTAAATAACTAGCTAACGTTAGCTAGCTAATTCGCCAATGTCCCTTTCATGTGGTCTAACTAGCTAGTAGTTGCTAGGTGACATTGAGAATTCTCAGCAAACTAACTAGTTAGTTTAGACAGAATGTACTGGCGATATCAATGTTTGGTTGTCTTTCCAGCCAGCTAGCTAGGTACTGTAGTAATGACAGTTGTTGATGTTTCATGATCCATCTCTAACTGAATGACACATTGGATCGTTGCAATGAAAGTTTCAACAAATTTGCAATGAAGTTTGCAACTAAGTTTCATAGTTACATTTCAAATAAAATAAAATTTCGAAATACTTGTGTTTCTAGCTCCAACAGTTCAGTAATATCTAACAATTCACAACAATACACACAAATCTAAAAGTAAAATAATCTGTAAAAGTTTGTGAGGGTTTTAGGTGCCAAGACAAATTTCTTCAGCCTCCTGAGGTTGAAGAGGCGCTGTTGCGCCTTCTGCACCACACTGTCTGTGTGGGTGGACCATTTCTTATCGCCGGTGATGTGTACGCTGAGGAACTTGAAGCTTTCCACCTTCTCCACTGCGGTCCTGTCGATGTGGATAGGGGCATGCTCCCTCTGCTGTTTCCTGAAGTCCACGATCAGCTCCTTTGTTTTGTTGACGTTGAGTGAGAGATTATTTTCCTGGCACCACACTCACTGGGCCCTCACCTCCTCCCTGTAGGCTGTCTCGTCATTGTTGGTAAATGAAATTGTTGGTAGTTGACGTTAGCTCGCGTCCAGTGGGCTGCATCCTTGACAACAACAGCAATGCGTGTCATGTGTTTCTGTATCTGTCTGTCCACACAGACTCCGCCGTGGAAGCGCCACAGAAAGATGACAGTGACCCCACTTTCGTCAGGCTCAGGAACCCTTCAACACGTAGCTAGCTAACGTTACCAGCTAGCTTCAATAACACATTTTTACACAGGCACGACGTTAGCAACCTATGAAGCAAAACTATGAACGTCAATATCATTGAAATCATAATAAGCCACTTCTCCACAGTGGTATCTATCTATGGAAAGTATATATATTTTTCTTCTAGATGCAGTGTCTCTGTACCTGTTGGGCAGTGGTGATGTGCAGCTATATGAGGTCAAAGCCTTCAACGAAGACTTCCACTTCTGGTTCATTGGCCAGACAGTACAGAGAGGTAACTTACATTCAGATGATAGGTTAGCCAAGTAAAACTCAACTCCAAGATATACTTCACATCTACGGAGTTGAGTGGAGACGAGAGTGGGCGGAGTGTACCTACGATTAATTCGAGTTACTCTCAGTCGATATGAGGAAACAGTCAGTGGTTGTATTTGATTAACTTTTTATTAAGAAGTATAGATATCAGCAAAAGAAGAAAGGTACGCAGCTACAGAGGACAAACATAGCTACACGGTAAGGGTTTAAGAATGCAAGTTTTTACAAGTATGGACCTTCGGCAACTCAATGTACAGTGAGGGAAAAAAGTATTTGATCCCCTGCTGATTTTGTACGTTTGCCCACTGACAAAGACATGATCAGTCTATAAATTTAATGGTAGGTTTATTTGAACAGTGAGAGACAGAATAACAACAAACAAATCCAGAAATACGCATGTCAAAAATGTTATAAATTGATTTGCATTTTAATGAGGGAAATAAGTATTTGACCCCTCTGCAAAACATGACTTAGTACTTGGTGGCAAAACCCTTGTTGCCAATCACAGAGGTCAGACATTTATTGTAGTTGTCCACCAGGTTTGCACACATCTCAGGAGGGATTTTGTCCCACTCCTCTTTGCAGATCTTCTCCAAGTCATTAAGGTTTCGAGGCTGATGTTTGGCAACTCGAACCTTCAGCTCCCTCCACAGATTTTCTATTGGAATAAGGTCTGGAGACTGGCTAGGCCACTCCAGGACCTTCATGTGCTTCTTCTTGAGCCACTCCTTTGTTGCCTTGGCCGTGTGTTTTGGGTCATTGTCATGCTGGAATACCCATCCACGACCCATTTTCAATGTCCTGGCTGAGGGAAGGAGGTTCTCACCCAAGATTTGACGGTACATGGCCCTGTCCATCGTCCCTTTGATGCGGTGAAGTTGTCCTGTCCCCTTAGCAGAAAAACACCCCCAAAGCATAATGTTTCCACCTCCATGTTTGACGGTGGGGATGGTGTTCTTGGGGTCATAGGCAGCATTCCTCCTCCTCCAAACACGGCGAGTTGAGTTGATGCCAAAGAGCTCGATTTTGGTCTCATCTGACCACAACACTTTCACCCAGTTTTCCTCTGAATCATTCAGATGTTCATTGGCAAACTTCAGACGGGCCTGTATATGTGCTTTCTTGAGCAGGGGGACCTTGCGGGCACTGCAGGATTTCAGTCCTTCACAGCGTAGTGTGTTACCAATTGTTTTCTTGGTGACTATGGTCCCAGCTGCCTTGAGATCATTGACAAGATCCTCCCGTGTAGTTCTGGGCTGATTCCTCACCGTTCTCATGATCATTGCAACTCCACAAGGTGAGATCTTGCATGGAGCCCCAGGCAAAGAGAGATTGACAGTTATTTTGTGTTTCTTCCATTTGAGAATAATCGCACCAACTGTTGTCACCTTCTCACCAAGCTGCTTGGCGATGGTCTTGTAGCCCATTCCAGCCTTGTGTAGGTCTACAATCTTGTCCCTGACATCCTTGGGAAGCTCTTTGGTCTTGGCCATGGTGGAGAGTTTGGAATCTGATTGATTGATTGCTTCTGTGGACAGGTGTCTTTTATACAGGTAACAAGCTGAGATTAGGAGCACTCCCTTTAAGAGTGTGCTCCTAATCTCAGCTCGTTACCTGTATAAAAGACACCTGGGAGCCAGAAATCTTTCTGATTGAGAGGGGGTCAAATACTTATTTCCCTCATTAAAATGCAAATCAATTTATAACATTTTTGACATGCGTTTTTCTGGATTTTTTTGTTGTTATTCTGTCTCTCACTGTTCAAATAAACCTACCTTTAAAATTATAGACTGATCATTTCTTTGTCAGTGGGCAAACGTACAAAATCAGCAGGGGATCAAATACTTTTTTCCCTCACTGTAGTTGGAGATACAGTTCACATACTCGTCTCCGCTCCACTCCATTGACGTGATCAACATTGTGGAGTTGAGTTTTACTTGGCTAATGATAGCTTAATGGGTTTAGTCCAAGGTGTAAATTGTGGTGTTGAAGATCCACATGTTTTTATTTGAACAGATGGGAGACTTCTGTATGTCACTCCAATGGATCCCCTCTACCTTCTGTTGCCCTACTTGTTTAAAGCGGGTAAAGAGGTAAGGCCCATATGCCCATACGTATTTTTGAAATGAATTAAATTGTGCTTATTGCATATTTATCTTTCCCCTTCATCAGTCTTTCTCTCTTTGTGAGCTCTTTTCTCCTCCCTTTGTGATGTCATCCATCTCTCTCCTTCTTCCTTTGTGACATCACCTGTCCTTCTCTCTTTGTGATGTCACCTCTGTCCTCTGATTCCATCTCTCTCCAGTAATTTTTTTGTAATTTCATTGTCTTTTCTTTGTGATGTCATCTCTGTCCTCTGTGATTCCATCTCTCTCCAGTGATTGTGTTGTCATTTAATTATGTCTTCCTCTCTGTGATGTCATCTCTGTCCTCTGTGGTTCCATCTCTGTCTGGTCATTGTGACGTCATATCATTGTCTTTCTCTCTTTGCAAGGTAATTTCTGCCCTTCTTTTGCGATGTCGTCTCTGTCTTCCCCTCTTTGGGATATAATTTCTCTGTGTTCTGCTGCAGGTGAAGTTCCAGCCTGTGTACCAGATGTTGATGGACGAGGACTTCCCAGCATGCACCAGGCTGCTGATCTGCACGCACTCCCTGGCCTCCCTGCACCACATGGCTGAGGAAAAAGGTCAGAGGTCACTGTTCAGCCCACACAAACTAATGTTGAAAGTTAATGTGGTCCTCAGAAATAATCAACTGTCAAATTTAGGTTACAAACCCCTAACCCCAATAATTTGTTTCTCACTTCAATGTCAGACTGAAGCGCACATGAATGGATTTAATTAGTATATCAGATCATTCAGAGACTGCAGCACCCTTGTATTGTTTGAGATTTTCTAAGGATGAGCTGCACATGAACACAGCATAAAAGTGTAATGTTGAGTGGTTTCAGGTGTTATACATGTTCTGTGTGCTGCTCTTCAGAGGTGGGCAGTCAGAAGTTTCACCGCTACAGCCAGGAGAGGACCATGGAATGGTTAAAGAAAAAGGTACCCATTGATCAATATATGAACTGCATAAGCACATATCATCCTCTATAGTACATCCTGAAGCAATCTGACCCCGGCAACCTCCAGGTTGTGCAGGCTTTTCTTCTAGCCCAGAACTAACACACCTGATTAATCTAATCATCAAACCCTTGATTAGTTGAATCAGGTGTTCTGCCACCCTGTGGGTTCCTGCAGAGTTCAGAATTGCTGCTCTCAAGTAGATTTAACAGTGTAAACAGTGTGTTGGTCTTGCTGTGTACCTGCTGTTCCAGGCTGAGAGGACAGTGAAGGCCCTCGGAAAGACTAACATCTCAGTGGGAGAAAGGGTGAAGTCCACGACGTACGTCAGAGTCAAGAAGGAGTCAGAGACCCAGGAAGGTGAGTCACTCTCAGGGCCTGGACCAATACTGCAGACCTGTTCCATGTTCTCCCTGGCCTGCATACATCAAATGAACCAGAGGATGGCACCAAACCCATTGTAGAGGTCAGGCGCTTTCTGCACCAGACTTTGCCTAATAGCCTTACATGTTACATTTCCGGTTTCACATTAATTTTATATTTAAAGCTCAGATTATCAACCCAGTTTTCTGTGATATCAATAGAATGGATGTCATTCCATAATGAAGTGATGCTGTGGTATTAACCCTCTTATGCCCTCTCTTCATTGTAACATAGAGGACTACCTGCAAATAGAGGACTACCTGCAATATGCCCATGGTCTGATATCTGCGTATATCAGGGAAGACCTGAGCAAAGCTCTCCTCAACCATCTACAGTGAGTACACACGCACAATCTAAAATTAAAAAGCACAATCAAAAATTTCATTTTCATGTAGCTTCAGTGTAACTGTCACTGACTAATTTTAATTAAATGTTAACCCCCCCCCCCCCCCAAAAAAAAAAAATGAAGATGAGTGTTTGGTTTTGGAGCCAGTAACCACAGAATTCAAATAACTCGGTGGCAATTAGATTTTCCAAGACACATCCCCCACAGTTTACAAACAATTGCAGGGCCCATGTCAGCACTTTTGACTGGAAATGTACTGGTGATGAAAGTGACAGATTGTGCCGTTACGACAGTGATACTACTGAAGGTAATGCATTAAGCAGCATTGTTAGTCTGTAACAGTCTGATGGTCAATCATCTTTCACCTTCCTCCTGACAGGTTACCTGAGCTCTCAAGCCCTAATGAGGTGGAGCATCATTCAAAGGGATTTTATCCAGCTTCTCTTTGTAGGCTATTTGTGTCATCACACTGTGTAGTTAGGCCTACAGTGCATTCGGAAAGTATTCAGACCTCTTGACTTTTTCCACATTTTGTTACGTTCAGCCTTATTCTAAAATTGATTAAATAGTCCCCCCCCACCCCCAATCAATCTATACACAATACCCCATAATGACAAAGCAAAAACAGGTTGTACATTTTTTTTGCAAAACAAATTAACAGAAATATCACATTTACGTAAGTATTCAGATCCTTTACTCTGGACCTTTGAAGCACCTTTGGCAGCGATTACAGCCTTGATTCTTCTTGCGTATGACACTACAAGCTTGGCACACCTTTATTTGGGGAGTTTCTACCATTCTTCTCTGCAGATCCTCTCAAGCTCTGTCAGGTTGGATGGGGAGCGTCGCTGCACATCTATTTTCAGGTCTTTCCAGAGATGTTTGATTGGATTCAAGTCCGGGCTCTGGCTGGGCCACTCAAGGACATTCAGAGACTTGTCCCGAAGCCACTCCTGCGTTGTCTTGGCTGTGTGCTTAGGGTCGTTGTCCTTTTGAAAGGTGAACCTTCGCCCCAGTCTGAGGTCCTGAGCGCTCTGGAGCAGGTTTTCATCAAGGATCTCTCTGTACTTTGCTCCGTTCATCTTTCCCTCCATCCTGACTAGTCTCCCAGTCCCTGCCGCTGAAAAACATCCCCACAACATGATGCTGCCACCACCATACTTCACCGTAGAGATGGTGCCAGGTTTCCGCCAGATGTGACGCTTGGCATTCAGGCCAAAGAGTTCAATCTTGGTTTCATCAGACCAGAGAATCTTGTTTCTCATGGTCTGAGAGTCCTTTAGGTGCCTTTTGGCAAACTCCAAGTGGGCTGTCATGTGCCTTTTACTGAGGAGTGGCTTCCGTCTGGCCACTCTACCATAAAGACATGATTGGTGGGGTGCTGCAGAGATGGTTGTCCTTCTGGAAGGTTCGCCCATCTCCATAGAGGAACTCTGGAGCTCTGTCAGAGTGACCATCGGGTTCTTGGTCACCTCCCTGACCAAGGCCCTTCTCCCCCGATTGCTCAGTTTGGCCAGGCGGCCAGCTCTAGAAATAGTCTTGGTGGTTCCAAACTTCTTCCATTTAAGAATGATGGAGGCCACTGTGTTCTTGGGGACCTTCAATGCTGCAGACTTTTTTTGGTACCCTTCCCCAGATCTGTGCCTCGACACAATCCTGTCTCGGAGCTCTACGGACAATTCATTCGACCTCATGGCTTGGTTTTTGCTCTGACATGCACTGTCAACTGTGGGACCTTATATAAACAGGTGTGTGATTTTCCAAGTCATGTCCAATCAATTGAATTTACCACAGGTGGACTCCAATTAGGTTGTAGAAACATCTCAAGGATGATCAATGGAAACCGGATGCACCTGAGCTCAATTTCGAGTCTCATAGCAAAGGGTTTGAATACTTGTGTAAATAAGGTATTTCTGTTTTTTATTTGTAATATATTTACAAAAATGTCTTAACCTGCTTTGGCTTTGTAATTATGGGGTATTGTGTGGAGATTTATGAGAATTATTCTTTATTTTTTATCCAATTTAGAATAAGGCTGTAACGTAACAAAATGTGGAAAAAAGGTAGGGGTCCGAATGCATTGTATATACTGACATATTTGTTCCCAGTTTTCTATTTATTTGGGAACATTTGTTCTTTTTCTGCATGTGTTAGAAACCAAAGCGGGATAAATATTGTTGTACATATAAATTAGCTTGCTTTTATTTCTTGTAGGGTGTGGCTTTTCCACTGTGGTGTTCTATTGAGATTCACCAGATGGTTGCAGTGTACCGGTAGATTAGTGTGTTCTTATGCCTATTGTTGGTGGATGTGGTTGGTCGGTTTGTGGTCCTCACGGTATCGCCACGGTAACTTGTAACTTATAACTTGTGTGTCTGTGGCGTGATTGGTGGTTGGTGTTTAGAGTGATGGAAAGTAGGTCTAACTCTATACATCCCATTCTCGTTCGGCAGAAACGAAAACTGTCTGACACACCGGTGGAGGTGGGAGAGGGCTACACCAAATTCAACAGCTCCGATTTCACCCGCAAAGTGAGTGAGATTAGGGGCAGTTTGCATGAATGCACCCAGGAGAGAAATATAGAAGGGGGGGGGGATCCTTCCTGAAGTGTACGTGAGTGCAGTTTAAAGCAATGCAATGCAGAGGCCTTCAAATCAAGACGAAAGTCCAAGTAACCTTGTGTATTCTGTCTGGAAATGAGAGTCATGATGATATGTAATTACGTTTCAGCCGTCTTCACTCAAGGCCGATGAGCAATACTATTGAATATCTATTTTCTCCTCATTCAGCCGCCCAAGAAGATGAGTACGGCACAGAGGACCCTGGGCAAGGTGGACAAAACAGGCATGAAAAGCATGTCTGCCTTCTTCAGCCCCAAGGGCCAAGCAGAGAAAAACTGAATATTAGGATGATGCATTTTTTGTGAGAATAAGCGGATAAAACATAAGAAAATGAATAGTTATTCCTTCAAGGTTTGGAGGAGTATAACTCTTTTCCCTACTGCTCTCATATTATTGTGTCGATAACCAGCCTGAGTTCAGCCTGTGGTCTCCTGTTGCAAAGTACAACATTCAACAAACACACCAAGGGTCCACATGAAGTCATGGAAAAAGTGAATCTGCCATGGTGACCCATTTTAATGTACAGAAATATAGACTTAACAGGATAAATCATATTGTAACAGTACAATGGTAGCCTATTACAGTATAAAACTAAATAAGCAGTGCCATTTGCAAAACCTTGGTTAATATTTAGGAATAATTTTAATCATTCAGTCTTTGAGGCACATAGGGAACATCTTACATTTCATACGGTGATGTTGATCGTCTTAAGAGACTGATGCGACAGGTAAACCTGGATAAAATTAGCCTAGTCTAAATGTGTATAAAAAATACTTGGAAAAGAAAATGGACAGTTGCATTGTTCAGTTGAAAGACTTGACTGATTGTGATGTCAGCTGAGTCATGTGGAGTAGGTGGTCTGTTTAGTCACAGTAACTAAGTAATGAGAGTGTTTGTTGGGAATTACGCTGTCGAAGTTACACATGGTCCTTTAAGGATCGGGTTACATTCCCATCAGTCCCATGGGCCGCAGCAGACTGGATAATTTATCAGGCCGCCAGGGCCAGTATTAGACGCGAAAACGCCAACAGGTGCGCGTCAGGACAGGTGCCTCTGGCAAAAACATTTTGATGCCATTTTCTGGTGGCATAGCGAACAATGTCCCATGCCTTGCCTGTCCACACCAACACAATGCGATCATTGGATGCCACTTTCTATTCCCATACCCCACGGTTCTCGCTCAGTTCCCACTTCCTCTAGGCCTACTTCTCTCTCTCACTTCCCTGCCAATTCCTCGCCAGCTGTGTGCATGCATGTCGCGGGACCTCCCCAAGTCGACTCCCGTACTTGTTATAAAACTCCGGAAAAGTTCCCACTACTCCTTCTTTTTGAGTTTCGGCTTGAAGCGCAGTGTCTGGAAGGCACTCTCCACCACTTTGGGCAGGTGGATGGGGTTCCTCTGTAGGTGTCGTCGGCTGCTCGTCGTCCCTTTGTCGCTGTTCTTCTTCTTGGCCTTGCTGCTGCTTTCGCTGGTTGGGGCCGGCTTCTTCAGCTTGGACTCATCTGTGGGACACCGTGGGACCCGCATGACCCAGTTGGAGTGGAGGTCGTGCTCACTGGTGCTGGTGGCCACTGAAGGAGAGAGAGAGATGGGTTCACATCAGTTCTCAAAATGCCCATCCAAATTCTACATGGGGAAAGGAGAAACCACTAAAGGGTAGTTTGTGATCAGTTACAATTACTCTGAGACAGTGCCATGAGCTGTTTACTGTCTCCAGATCAGCACCAGGTAGCTAGCTCTTCACTACACCTAGTGTTGATTTTTCAGTGTTACATTTCTAGTGTTGATTCAGGAGTTAAATTAACCCTCTAAAATATCCTCAGTGTTGGTGTTAATAACCAGTGTTGAGTGTGATTGTGTCAGTTTTACTCTGTGGAGACTAAAACATTCTCATCAAAACTATGCCCATCATTATCTAATTTCCCATTATGCTCTACTGCAGCTAGATTTTTTTTAGGAGTAGGTTCTTAACACCAACATGTTGGGGTAAAACACGGCCATCAAAGTAAGGCCTTATGATATATGTAAGGAATTGTCATTAACAGTTTAATTTGAATGATAACATTCACCTACAGTAGGAACTCACTTGGTGAAGTCCACAAGACAGAAAATGAATGAATTCAACAACCATGTCTCTGTCACTAACAAATACAGTCATTGATCGTAACTCTACAATTCACTCAAAAAGGCACACTGGGAAATTATATTGGGGCGTGGCTTCGTGTTGGGGGGGCTTTCAATTAGTTGGTTTTTTTGGGCCACCCGCAAGTGGAAGTGTTGTACCAGTTTAATTGGTCTATGGTTATGTTAGTTTGAGCATGTCGTCTGCCACTTATGTTTCCCCTTTCATCTGTCAGTGCTGCTGTGAACCGCATCACAAAGACATGTCAAACGGGAGATGTAAAATTGACATGATTGATGCAATTTCGACGTTGTTTAAATTGCTTTGTGTATCACTAAATTTGCTTGAGATGATTTAACTGCTCACTGCGTCCAAGATTTTTTGATATAGTCCTTCCAAAGAGTTGTCAGTAAAGGTGAGCTCATGAATATAACCTCCCTGCCCACTCAGCCTGTCTTTTCAAACTTCCTGGTAGTTAGCCATGAGAGAAAGATGACTTTTTCTGTAATTTTGAGCATTTCTACCCCCCAAAATATTCGGGGTGATATTTTAGAGCTAGGTTTCCATCCAATTGGCAACAGATTTTCATGCGAATATTCAAAAATCCGCATTAAAACAGTATGCACATTCTCCCACCAGAGATGTGTTTCCATCAAATTGACTTGTTGCAGATAAAAGACTCTGCGTGATGATGTGTGCACATAAAAAATACCGTTTTTGGTTAAATTCACATGTACCGAATAAAAAAATACAAGTTAAATGGTTTTCCAATGCATTTTCAACTCTACTCATGTTTCCTCACAAAGAAAATGTGCGTTATATGAGTGTGCCCACTCTGGTATTGGTACGTGCATTCTAACCGGCTACAGTGAACATATAGCCTACATGATGAGATGATGAGATTATTATTATTTGTCAACTGGCAGCCAAGCATCGATGATCATGTCACCAGAATAAGACCCTCGATATTTATTAGAAAGGAGCATCAAGCTCATCACCTTTCACTTTCACCACCCTGTGATGTTCATCATAACTTGTTTCATCTGTAGCCTAATAAACTGCATGCTTTCCCGACGAGTCCTAGTGGGAGGACCACACAACATCTCATTGCGTGACTTCAAGTTTACTTCGATATGATGGTTATTACAGTATCAGTATCAATATTTGCGCATAAAGCGTTTCCACCGACATTTCTCGCGTACATCATTCTACCGACACAAAAAGAAACCACCTTGTCTAGCGTATTTTGTTTTGTCGACATTTGGAAAGTTTACAGAAAATATTTATGTTTCCATCAGACCAGTCATGACATTTTTTTATCTGACGTACTTTACTCACATAAAAAGGTTGGATGGCTACTCAAAAGGTTATTTTACATGGGAATCAAAATGACCATTCGGGACCTTTAACACTCAAAAGTGTGGACCCATATAGACACTGGCCCAGTTTTAAATTTAACACTGTCAGTGTTGATTTAACACTGGAGCATTTGCTGTGTATCTCTAGATCAGCACCAGGTATCTGTCCACTGTCTCTATATTAGCACCAGGTAGCTGTCCACTGTCCTCACTGTTTATGCAACTTGATCATACTTCTAACCAAAACACAACTCACCAATGAAGTCAACGTCAGCGTGCCCATTGTCTACATGGGGCTTGCGAGTGGGCTCAGGGTCACAGCTCGCGATGACAGCGTCAAAGAAGTCCAGAGTGTCCTCCTCGTTGGGGATTGGAGGGGCAGACGGTTTGGTCCTCATAATCTTAACAAAATACACAAAACAAACATAAGAGAGAATATGATTGTCTATTGTGTTCTTTAGCAGAAGGCATTCAGTGGTTCAACAATTTCAGTTAGGGCACAAGGATAATTATGAGGTGAGGTCATAGCCATTAAGTGTTTCACAAATCCTTTCTACCTGTGCGTCCTTGGAGGTGGGCGGTGGAGGCGCCGGCTTCTTCTTGGGGGAGATTGTGGCCTTCGTCTCATTGCTTTTGAAGTTGTTGACGCTCCTCGTGTACTGCCGTCTCAATGCCACCAGCTCTTCCAAATACTCCAGGCAGTTCTGGTTCTGAGAGTAGAGCCATATCCGGTCCTCCTGCCTCTGGTAATAATACAAGGCGGTGGTGGACTCTACGTTCACAGAACTTTTGCTCCGCTTCAGTGTGGAGTTGACGGATGACTGCCTCCTCTGGCCCACCACGAGCATGGAGGTGCTACGCACCAGCTTGACGGTGCACGCGCTGTGGTAGTCCTGCTCGGACCACGGACCGCCATCACGAGCCCTGTGCCCATGGTTGGGACGGAGCGCATTATTGATCTTCCTGAACATCCCTCCTGTGCGTGGAGCGACTCACAGTTATAAAATATAATGTTAGTTCAATCGAGGTGCCCAAATGACAGTGACACATCCATCCATAACCGTTTCCAAGTAGCATTCCTCAGAAATCAGTTAGAAAACAAGCGCACGGCAAGTTAAAAAAAGACAGTATGACATTGGTCTTGTCCATGGTTCTGAAACTGCCTGTGAGTATGGTTGGCAGAGAAGATCATTTGGGACTCCTCTCACTTAAATAAACAACTTTACCGGCTATCACTACGGTGTTATGGGGGGTTGTGCTATGGCAACGGGCCTCGAAATTCAACCCGCTCCAGTGTCATTACTATTGAACAGCAGTCCCGTGTCAAATGTCCTTATGGGCACCTCAAGCTCCCAGTGTCACCAAAACGCACACGCTGTGGTCGCTCTGCCCAGTGGGCTATACACTGCAAATCAGCCAGTGTTACCTTGTGTTGCTTTTTTCAGTGTAACATTTCTAGTGTTGATTCAGGAGTTAAATTAACTCTGTAAGAGTATTAACACTCAATGGTGTAAAATAACCCCAGTGTTGGTATTAATAACCAGTGTTGAGTGTGAGAGTGTGATTGTGTCAGTTTTACTCTGTGGAGACTTAAACATTCTCATCAAAACCATGCCCATCATTATCAGATTGCCCAGCATGCTCTACAGCAGCTCGATTTTTTTAGGATTGTTTTTGATATCTGTGTTTTTGCATGGTCATTGATTGATTAATCTTATGCTACACAAAGATAACGAACATACATTTTTCTAAACTAATCCAATCAGTTAGTTAGATTCATTGCACCCGTTACTGAAATGGTTGTTCCAGTTTTAAATGGTTTTAGTAGTCTCCTCACAATATTTCTAACCCTTACAGTCATTCTGAACGCATGTGAATAAACATTTCAGCTGTCAGATGTCCAAACTCCAGCAGTCCTTGAATACGTCAAGGGGTATGAATACTTTCTGAAAGCACTGTATATGTTTCCCCTTTCATCTGTGTCTGATGTTAGCTAGTTACAGGCTAGCTAGGTCTTCAGTCAGCATGGAACAAAAGGGGGTAGTTTAAAACTCTGAAGCAGACATGCCAAACAGGAGATGTATAAAAATAACTATTGACACCATTGATGCAATTTCAATGTTGTTTGAGTTGCTTTGTGTATCACCAAATTAGCTAGAGATGATTTTACTGCAACACTGCTCATTGCATCCAAGTTTCTTGACATAGGCGTTTCAAAGAGCTGTCAGTCAAGGTGAGCTCATGAATATAAGTTCCCTGCCCACTCAGCCTGTCTTTTAAAACTTCTAGGTAGTTAGCCATGAGAGAAACATATATATTTTTTTAATAAAGCATTTCTATCCCCCAAAAATATTATAGGTGACATTTTAGTCACTCAAAAGGCTATTTTACATGGGAATCAGAATGACTGTTCAGGACCTTTGATGATAACATTTGCCTCCAGTAGGAAATCACTTGGTGAAGTCCATAGAACTAAAAATGAACGAATTCAACAACCATGTGTTTGTCACTAACAAATACAGTCGTGGGTGGTAACTCTAAAATTCAGTCAAAAGGCAATGTGCTCTGGGAAATAAGGCTTTACACCAAGCAGTGTGTGAATTTAACACTGTTCCAGTGTCTATACAGGTCCACACTTTCAGTGTTAATTTAATAGATTACGGATTACGCTATGCGTTATATCTGTCTAAATTTCCCCTCCTAATAAATAATTAAGGTGACTGCAGTGTCATGTTTCAGGCCCTGTGAACGACATTGTTGCGCTGGTTCTCTGCTGGCCAACAGACGCAAGGCGAGGATGACTCATCTAGTGACTAAGGAGCCCTAGACTAGAGAGTGAACACAAGAAAACAAACCCCCCCACCAGATATGGCCTTGTGCGAAGAAGGCAGTTGAACTATTGTCTATCATCTTCTTATTGATGTCACATCCTACCTCTCTGATTACTTCAATCAAAGAAAGCATGTTACCACCTGTGTTAAGTGCATTTGATATGTCTGTAGATAAGTGTGCACATATAAGCCCCTAACTATCATTTACTGAACCTATGCAGGTTGTAGCTTAGCCTGATGCCCATAGCTCTGGAAGCTCCTACAGCTCTTGAAGCTCCTACAGCTCAGGAATACAGGTGAATTATCATAATTGGTAAAGCACCTCTACTATGCAAATCTTTATATGACCGCAATAGAACTATAAAGTATATAGATTGTAGACTGAGAGATCCCCCAATGCATTAAATTGATTCCCTAATCAGATGGGCTCAGCTCTCCATGGCACCTATGGTTACACAATGTGACAGAGCAGACCTGACTGACTCTGCGGGGTCTGGTTTCCAGCATAACACTGAGCTGCCCAGAGTCTTGGGTTTCAAAGAGGAAATAGTTGTGGTTTCATGACCCCAGGCTGGAGCGTGAGGCCACACTTCCCTTTCTGTCATCCTGTACAGGCCTTTAAACAGACCAGATGCTTAGGCATGGCCACACACACACTCACACACACACACACACACACACACACACACACACACACACACACACACACACACACACACACACACACACACACACACACACACTTTCTGTCAGTTCGAGACAAGGCGAAAGAGACAGTCCAATTTCTATTTGCTTTGCTTAATGTGAAGTTTCTTTCTCCTTAAATCAGTCTTTCCTTCCTCTTTTAAACCCCTCACCTGCTTTTTTAAAGTGGAAAACAAAACTGTGTTGTTTCATGTTCAGGACATGTTTCACAGATGCTATGATGGAGGACATGGAAAACAGCCCTCTCACTTCCTCTTGGTCTTGTATAAAGCTTAAAGCAATGCTACCTACACTTGTCACAACCACTCACCTCACACTGCTCTATTGTACTGCACTGGCTTGGTACAATAGACCTGGAGACACTGGAGACATTGACATGAATACAACGAGAAGAGGGGCACACATCCAACTCAGAGCAACAGGTGGTGGACTGCATGACTTGAAGAGTGTTGCATCATTTGATATGTTGTATCGTTTGAATTTGAAGGTAAGGGGTTTCACTACTGAATTATTATGATTGAAGAGTCGAAACAAAAATGCATATTACTGCCCAGAGTTGGTTCTTAAATGTATGAATACATTTTAAAATATAAAAATAAAAAGGGCTTCAAAGACACTTTATCCACAAGCTGCTGTAAACTGACCAAAGACACTTTATCCACAAGCTGCTGCAAACTGACCAAACAGCTATATACGTGTGTTCCTTTCCAGCCATGCTGTGTGAGAGCATACTATGGAGCATGACCTACTGTAGTGACCAGGAGAGACTGGACCCTCTCCTCCCTGTGATAGAGCCCCCCAAGAGTAGTGTGAGGGCTGGCTCACAGCCGGTTAAAGCCGCCCCGCTCTCCACACTCCAGGCCTCTCCAGGCCAGCCAAGCAGAAATGGCCACTCCATCTTGCCTAGGGTGCCCCAAAACCAGAGGCCTTCCCGGGTGAGTGCCCAAATCCAGCCCCAGGCTTCTTCTCCAACGCAGGCCCTGCATTCCCAGAGGCCCCATCCTGGCAGACACATCTCCCCAGAGATGGAGATCCCTGGGCAGGCTCATTCTGGTGGTGAGGTCCCCTTCCTGGTGCCCTCCTCCTGTCAGAGTATCTGTCAGAACTACAGCGACCTTCACATCGGGGGGGACCAGGTGCTGCCTCTCTCAGACAATGATGGGGAGCTCCTGCCCTGCAGCGACACCCAGGCTGACGGCCCCTTTCTCTTTTCCTGTGACGTCCTCCCGGCCACAGATGACTCTCCCCCAGATCGGGCCTCTGAAGACAGGCCACTGTGTCCTCTCCAGGGGGGCTCAGGCTTGGGATCCTCCCGCTGGAGGGCGGGGAGCGGCCGCGACCGGAGCTTCCTCCTCCAGGGGTGTGAGGGGCCCCTTTCCAACTCGCTGCTCAACCGCTACCTGGAGCACAAGCTACTGGACCTGTACCAGCAGTACATGCTGGAGAGCATGGCCCGGGAAGGGGGTTGTAGTGAGGGTTTTCCCAGCCATCTGCTAGCCTCAGAGCTGCTTCTGACCAGCCTGGATCAGATCACCCTGCAGCTGAGCCGTGAGGGCCACCTGGAAGCGGGCCGGGCCAAAGACATGGTGCTCAGCTGCCTGCTGAGGGTGGCCAGCGGCCTGCAGTCCAGTGAGATCAGTACTCCCCTGCTCCAGATCTCCACTGATCTGCAGCTCCCCACTGCTACTGCTACAGCTGCTGCTACTGCTGCTGCTACTGTTACTACTGCTAGTAATTCTGCTGCTGTTACTGCTGCTACTACTACTCCTGCTGTTACTGCTGCTGTTACTACTACTGCTGTTACTACTGCTGCTGTTGCTGTTACTACTGCTACTGTTGATGCTACTTCTACTTCTACTGCTACTGCTGCTTTTACTGCTGGTGCTGTTGCTGGGTATCCAGGAGCACCTCAGGGACCGCTCAGCTTCACCACTGACCCCCCAGTTAAAGACATCCTTTGACCCCTGACCCTTGAAACAACTGCACTCAGAAACCGCCTTGTTACTGAGGTCCAACCAACACTTGACTCAGCTCTCCTCCAGTACTAGACAGTTTCACTATCCCCCTAGTTTTAAAAACAGCCTCTGAACAGGGATGGAAGAGGAGGGAGTGTGTGTAGCTATGTTTTTAACCCTAATGGAAAATGCAAAATGTTGCTACTTTTCCTACTTTGGTATTACTTTCACACCGTTCTCTTATGATGAAATGAAACAGCTTTCAAACAGCTGCAGTGATATAATATTGAAATTCAGGTGGAAGCGCTGTGGTCGAGAGTGAAGACATCTGTACTGTTGTCATGTTTTCATAAAGAGAACATGACATTGTATGTAATGTTTTTGTCTTGTTTTTTTTTGTGTGTGAAAAATCTATAAACATGTTGATCAAACAAATGTCAGTTACTTTGATATGCTCCCAGTACAGTAGATCATTCCCTA